TGGACACCGGCTCCCTATGGATTGCGAATTTCTCACACCGCCCCACTGCCTTGGGGGTCAGGCTTTGGCTAACCATAGGCTCTGGTTGTGAATTCCTGAAGAGAATTCACCTGCCTTGTCACACAGTTTGACATCAGACATGTGTGAAATATATGAAATATATATTTCATGTTCCGATCCAAGTTCTAAACAGGAATAAAATGTATGGCAGCTATTCGGACCAATGGGCCGTGGCTGCACATATCGTTCATGTATTTGCTCACGACGTGCGCACAAGCGTCCAGTTAACCATCGCCCGGGATGTCGCATTTCTAATTTTCAGTTAACTCTCCCCAAGAACAACACATTTGTGGAACACTCTCTTCTTTCAGTTTTTCCTTCAACTTACAACATCCTGCTGCTTACACACAGAATCAACAAGCTGGTTCTAGCTTGAATGTTACCTTTACCATCTCAAGCACAATATATCCTTGGTTTATGGGGTTTAACCCGTTTTACTGTATTTATTTATGTGGAATAAAAAAACATAGAGTGCTCCACTCACTCTACATATAAATACACTGTGACAGATGAATTTAGACGTGGTAACCTGGATCTAATGCATGCGTGTCTCTCTTTTTTCTTTACTGCGGCTGGCACCGTTGAGAGGATAATCCAGTTCCATGATCATCATGGAGTTTCATGAGAGTTCGGCACGAGAGTGTTTTCCAGATTCACGCGGTATTTTTTTCGAGGGTACACCTCCAGCCTTCGTACAGCCAAGTGCGGACTGATAAGCAGTAGTGTTGATACACGGTTGGCAGTGGCTTCCTTCATAGCCATTGGAGCGAGCAGTAGGTCCCGTCCGCTACCTTGACATGCTGTTCACCGTCTCACCTAGGCCTATAGACCTCGGTTACCCTCAATCTGGTTTAGCCCGCCTGTCGAGCGGTTTGGCAGGGTGTGACCGCTTATGTATGTCTCAGCTTTGTAGAGCAGCAGCTTCCAGCTGATGATGAAGACCAAATAGTTTCAGTTTCAGTTTTTACAGCAATGTGACCTAGTCTCCTGGTTAGGGTTTTCATACCCTCATACCAGGTCTTCGCTTGACTACCCTTGACCCTTTTCCAACCGCTGCCAGCCTTGGAAAACATCGCTCGCTGCGGTAAACTATCTGGTGCCATGCGTAACACATGTCCCGACCAACGCAATCTATGCAGGTCGATCACTCGCTCCAGTNNNNGTTCCCTTAGTGGCCAAGTCTCTGCACCGTAGAGCAGAACTGGCCAAACTGCTGAAGCATACACTCGACCCTTCACAGACAGCCGGATGTCGCGACGACGCCACAAATGTCTCAAGTTGGCAAATACCAACCGAGCCTTTTGCATCCGCGCCGACACTTCATCTGTGATCGTCCNGTTGCCCAGAAAACAAAATTTGCTTACTTCCTCTACTACTTCCCCAGTTAAAGTGAGACTGGGTGCTGGACCAACCCAATCTTATAATAGCATTTTACACTTTGGTGCAAATAAGGGGACAATGATCCCGAGGAAACACGAAAGTGAACCAACTCAGAGGTGCTATTCCTATCAGAAACCCCAACGTTATATTCTTGAAATATTATTAAAACAACCGATTTGGCATCACCATGGAAATCCGCGATACCAATCGTTTAAGATGCCGTCTGTGGATTACTACAGAAACAGGAAATACAAACCATCCAGCAACTGGCACTGAATTCGACGTGACTTCGGCTCCGTATACGTGAGCCACATTGTCGAAATAAAGATGTAGGTGCTCGCTGAATGAACCAATGTATACCTAGGTACGTGCGACTAACGGGCGAAAAAAAAGCTTTTATGGTTCGCAGATAAAATAATGGCATGGTGAGTAATCAACATGACAGGCGTTACTATCATTCTTCTGACCTTATCCAGTGTTATCAAGATTCCATAGTAGCGTTCCTTCAGATCTTCGATTGACGGTCGACCAGGGAATCGTTCCAAGTCCCAACGATCACGCATGTGGACAAAGCGCAGATCAAAACGACGAGCAAGCTCCATCAAATGGGCAGTTTTAGCCTCAGTCCACTTCGGATCTTGAAGCATGGTTTCGTACTCTGCGGTTGTGTATTCAGGGACAGTAACGTGCTGTGACACGAAGCAGGGACAGGATTGTCAATGGTTGAAGAAACAGAACTGCACTACTCCACAAATGGTTATATGGTCTAATAAAAATGATATAAATACAAGGAGCAGTTGTGAAATCTGCCTCTATCTCTTATATAACCGTGACGGTTTTATGATGGTACTGAGTGAGCAATTTTAGCCGCTCTAAATGGCACAAACTACATGGTACAAGGTCCGAACACTGACACAGCCATCCGTTTTTGCGCTCGAATGGCTCCATACTACAATGAAGTTACTTAGAAACAGAAACTCATTAAACTCTCGTTCAAGGTATATTCCTGTCCTGCTGAAAAGTGATTGTCTCTTATGTCCCTTTACTCGACAATTGAAACTATCTACTGTGTGTTGACTGTTTTTATCCATGTCTATCCAGGTAGAGGACACGAAACCAGCGGTGATTCAATCACATTTAATCTGGCACGGATGTATGTAAATCTATTAGGTTTGAATATTCCATTGCATTCATCCTTGACCGTGTGGTTCTTTTATAGTGCGAACATACTGACCGAAGCATAATCCATTATCTCTCTAGCTGACCCTGTTGAGACTTATCTTCTCTTGGGTTGGAAACTTGTAAGCAATTTTCTCGGGCACAATGTGGGATCCCTCTCGTTGATGGATGAGAGATCCTCGTGCTGCGTATAAGAAGCTCATATAAGACTCACTACTTATGAACACAAAAATCCCCAGACAAGTGAAACTCTGCGTCTCTCTAGTTATACTTCCTGAAACCGTTTTTTTTTTCATTACAGACCAGTGTGTGATGAACAACACTCGGGGCGGAATCCATAGTCAAGAAAACCTGCTGCTAAGTGATGATAGTAACCGGCAACCTGAGCCCAGGGACTTGGAGTGGCGAACCACACCAGCCCCTGATAGGTCAGGTGTGGTATAGAACCGGGCGATGGCAAAGCTGCCTACCACCAAAGTTGGGTGGTGATGGCGGGGCTCGAACCTCGGACCATAGGATCTAAAGCAAAGCCGGTGACAGCGACTAAACCACTGCGCCACCACCAGGTTGAGTGCTTCAATCGCCTTTTTGATTATTTCTTCCCCACCTCCTCACTTGCATCTCTTGGTCGTCTATCTAGAAGATGCGATTTCTCAATCATGTAACGTTACTGTGTAGTTTGTGGCATCTTTGAGACATGAAGTAGTGCCGCATCCGAACGAATATGTAGATAGCATACTTCATGCAGCAATTAGACAACAAGTGGGAAAAAGAATATTTTTCAGACTCAGTTGACTGGAACGAAAATGCTCACTTTGTTGTATCGAGCGAATGGATACTCGTCTGTCGGATCTTCAGCGTCCGATTTTTCTCGTCTCCAATGGTACAGAATCAAATCATCCTGTGCGATAATGGGAACGGACAACAATTCATTCACCAGGACTGAATGTTCCGCGAAATATTAAAAAGCAGTGGAAGTGGTAAACCGTAGCGAAATGGACAATATCGAAAATGCTTTCCTCCCTCCACACAACAAACGATTGCACAACCGCTTCCAGCTAGAACGTCTAGAATAACAAACCTTAGGAAACGCGTTTTTCGTTCCGAGGATTAAAATCCAGTACAAAAACTGCACAAGGTGCTGCATCGTTCACGACAACAGGCTATAGGCAAAAGAATGGCATTCGACTGTGTCTCACTGAAGACCGTACACGGGCTGAATTTAACCAAATTATCTATGGTTTCCTTCTTAGCCCGTCCGAGAGGAATGTTTGTGCTCCCCAAGACAAGACCCCGTTTGTCTAAACAGGGTTGAATTAATGAAGACGCGTAACATCTGATAACGAGTCCAGTAGTTCCAGAGCAAACATATATATATATATATGTATATATATACACCGGCTTGTAGATAAACATGGTGCCAACGCCACAACAATAATAGCAATAACAATAATAGGGAATACATAACAAGGTGAAAAGAAGGTGAAACGGTTAGACACGAAAAAAGTAGATAGCAAATGGTAGATAAAAAAACATTTTTCTGTTTCACCGTAAAATTTTTGGTATTTTTTGTTGTTTTTTACGGGACCAAGTGGTTAGGTCACCAACTAGTGGCCTGGCTATCCCGGGTTCAAACAGCTCCACCACCGCCC